GCCCACCGCTCAAAGAAAAACCACCACATAATTTTTCTGGGGGGGGGGGGGGGGGGGGGTAATCCTGCATTATTTATACTTGCATTATTAAGTATAAATAATGCAGGATTGCACACAAAAAATTGTAGGCCACATAACATTTTTGGTAATTATAATGAGCAAATATTTAAAAATAGATTGTACTGCAATGAATATCATTATTACCTGATACAGAGGTCTTTATGTTCAAACTAATGGAACTAGAACCAAATGACCTACAGAGTAAACCACAAACAGACCATTAAGTATCATTATAGCAATTTATTAGACCCAGAATACTTTAAGATGTCATCAGTATCGCTGTATGAAATGAGAAGACTTGACACGTTGACATATATAACTAAAATTGTCAAATTCTGACTGAATTACTCACGAGCCCTGAGATCCGCCTGTTTTAATGTCACCGATGGTCACACAGACATCATCATCACTGTCTGATTCACTTTCCTTTGTGAGGGAAAAACAAAATGGCTGTTTGTATAGGTAAATGAACACCCTACATTATAACAACTAACCGAAACAAATAAAACAAAATTAAAAAAAAGTTTAAAATAAGTTTTGCTAAAACAAGCACCTGGTAATTGAGTCCACTCACTCCATCAACATCACCAATCAGAGCACTGCAGAAGTGAGATATATGTTTATATATGATGGATTTTATAATTAACCAATTAGATTGTACAATAATGTGTCAATTAAATGATCACATAGGCCTAAATAATCAGATTCAGTTACATCTTCAAACTAGGGAACAATATAAATTGGATTTAACTAAATGGCAGTTTGGGAAAAAACATACATAAAAAGTGATTTGAAGCATAATACATTTTTATTTTTTATTAAAAAATTTAATTTTAATTCATTTAATTATTTTAGTGCCATATTTCATTAAATCAGTTTAAACTGAATAGACAAAAATTACAGAAATATATTTCTTACTATATACTACACCTAAAAAAATATATTTATAAATATTTATAAAAATTTGCGATATGGGGCCAGTTGCATAAACAGCCACTATTTTAAGTCTGGGTCTTAAAAACTAGTTTCACCAACTAGACAAGGGGTAATTGGTCGTACTTCTGAGACTCAAATTAGATCAATCTACCTTTTTGTAACTGAATTAAAAAAATTATGACCAGTCTTGAAGAAAAAAAAAAAAAAGATGACTAACTTTTTAAGACTAGTCTAAGCCGTTTATGCAACTGGCCCCAGGTGTGTGCTCTGGAGAAGAAACTTCATTTTCCTTTGGATGGACAGACTTCCTGTCAGTTTCATCTGTCTGTCTGATTTAATCACATGCACTAATTGATGCTACAGAACAATAAAAAGGCTTTTACACTCAGCATATATGGGCAATGAAGGGGATCGATTTACAAGCACATCTTTAGCAGCAGGCCTACATTAGTTTAAGTGAGGCCTATACCACTGTGGCTCATCAGGCTTATTTAAGGCCAGTGCCGTGTGAGGGAAAATTCTCGCTTGGGTTTGAGTTTTGCCCCGACTCTAATGAAGGTGAAGCAATCCAACCCATAAAAAAACGCTGTGTCAACTCCAAGAAACAGCTAACACATCTCTACACAATGCTGGGAAGCAGAGGAATAAAACAATGGTTAATATTCTTTCTCACTCCTACTCCAGTGAGAACATAAGACGAGTGTATACTGTATTAGCCCTGGGCACATCCAATGCTGAATTTAACTAGCATCCAGTTCCATCAGACACGCGTGGCTTGATCCACTTTGGGAGCTTTTTTGCAAAGAGGTCTATTGGCAAAGACATGTCACATACCGCGAATGTGCACGTATGGCCATTACTAAGCAGTGAAACGGGCATTAAATGTACACGCTTCATTTCTACAACGCTACTTGCCCTAACAGGAAATAAACGTGTCAGCCTCTCTCGTTCTGAGTCGGCACACGATTTGGTCTTGTAAACTCTCATTTCAAATGCAAAAGCGGCCAGGGCTAAAGTGACCTGAAAGTTTCTGACATTGCCAGAAGCAGAAAATCCCAAGACTGCAGAGAGTTGAACTGTGCATGTGTTTGTGTTGGGGCCATGTATTAAAGTAAATGCCGATGAAGTACATTTCTAAATGCAAATGAAATCAAATATGAGGAAGAGCTGATTCAAATAGCTTTAAAAAAGGCAAAGCGACATTTTGGAGAAGATTAATAAATCACCTGCCTGATTAAAGCTAAGATGTCAACAAAATACTGCAATAATTAAACCTAAGGTCTTTGCACCAGTTTGTACTCTATATTTTCTGCCTTTTTCCATGCAGTTGTGAACTGTGTAGTCTACAAAAGTTTGGATAAGCATCCATTCATAAAGACTTAGATAAACATTTTTAAGCATCTTACAGGCCCGGATTGGCTAATCGGGAGCACCGGGAGGATTCCCGGTGGGCCAGTCTGTTTTTTTGGCCGCTAGGGCCGGTGTGTTGTCATGCCACTGGGTTGAAATATACTGTCCCTAGGCTGCCTGCAGTCACAGCAGCCCCACTCTTTTTATTTATTATTTTCTCGCAGCCCATATTATTATTTTCACCAGACCATATCAATAACAAATTCTCAATTGATAATTAATCATTCTTTTTGCACAAATCATTGTTATTTGTGAATGTAGGCATTTGAGGAAGGCTTTAAGACCAAGCGGAATCCTCTGCCGGCTGTTCCCGCTTCACAGCCAGGCAATTCCCTTCACCGTCCGCGTTTTGATTCTGCCAGATCAGTTTGGGCGAATGCAACTTATTGATCATGAGCCCAACATTTAGCAAGGCAGGAAAACATTCAATCTACCTGAAGGAAGACGTAGGATATTTCAGTGTAAGTTAATGCTGCTAAATATATAGAGAGAAAAAAATACATTAAAAAAACTTTGTGTATTCTTAAACTTGGACATAATTATATTGAAGTACAAATCCAAGCACCAGAAGCAGCCCACACTCTCTAAGTTTTCTTTCATTGAAAATTATGCATTTTCATTCATTCACAAAAACTTTAAGTGCCATTGTTAAAAAAAATGGTTTATTGACTGACGTTTCATACACCTTCAGTTAATGGCAGTTTGGGAAAAAACATACATAAAAAGTGATTTGAAGCATAATACATTTTTTTTAATTATTAAAAAATTTAATTTTAATTCATTTAATTATTTTAGTGCCATATTTCATTAAATCAGTTTAAACTGAATAGACAAAAATTACAGAAATAGATTTCTTACTATATACTACACCTAAAAAAAAAATATTTATAAATATTTATAAAAATTTGCGATATGGGGCCAGTTGTATAAACATAGCCACTATTTTAAGTCTGGGTCTTAAAAACTAGTTTCACCAACTAGACAAGGGGTAATTGGTCGTACTTCTGAGACTCAAATTAGATCAATCTACCTTTTTGTAACTGAATAAAAAAAATTATGACCAGTCTTGAAGAAAAAAAAAAGAAAAAGATGACTAACTTTTTAAGACTAGTCTAAGCAGTTTATGCAACTGGCCCCAGGTGTGTGCTCTGGAGAAGAAACTTCATTTTCCTTTGGATGGACAGACTTCCTGTCAGTTATATTTCAGTGTAAGTTAATGCTGCTAAATATATAGAGAGAAAAAAATACATTAAAAAAACTTTGTGTATTCTTAAACTTGGACATAATTATATTGAAGTACAAATCCAAGCACCAGAAGCAGCCCACACTCTCTAAGTTTTCTTTCATTGAAAATTATGCATTTTCATTCATTCACAAAAACTTTAAGTGCCATTGTTAAAAAAAATGGTTTATTGACTGACGTTTCATACACCTTCAGTTGTCATACTTTCAAATGTCATGCCATTTGTAATTTCACAGTATTTTCACCTCCTAAATTAGCGATAAAGAATCACAATTGTCCCTTATTTTCCATTTCTGAAGTTAATTGGCAACCCTAATGATGACGTAATTATCTTTTGACTCCCCTGATAGCGGCAAACCCTCAGTTTTTGGAGATATGCGAGCGAATAATAGAATAGAAAATAGCACTGTCAAAAGATTAATCATCTCCAAAATAAAAGTTTTTGTTTACATTATATATGTGTGTGTACTGTATATATTTATTATGCATATATAAATACAAACACATGCATGTATACATTTAAGAAAAATATGGTATGTTTATATATTAAATATGTAAGGAATAATCAACGGCTAGCCGTGCATTAAAGGATTTTAAATGCATGACGTGGAGGCAAAGAACCACCCGAAATTTTAAATGTATATACTCTGTGTTTGTATTTATATATATATATATATATATATACACACAGTACACATACATATATTATGTAAACAAAAACTTTATTTTGGATGCGATTAATCATTTGACAGCACTAATAGAAAACAAAAAAACAACAAAGTGGGCCGGTCTAAGGCATGAAACTCCAGGTCTGAAAATGAGTCCCACTCCGGCCCTGGGCTCTTTTAGATTAAGATGCTAAAACATAAAAAAACAAGTTCTACTTCAAGTTTCTCGTTGGAAACTTATCAACAGCTAAACACGTTTTCTTGGGCATCCTCACCTGAAAACTTCCTTTTCTGTTGTCTCTTCTTCGTCAAAATTGTCATCTATTTATGATAAAGAAGTAGAAATTAGGAAAATATTTGTTTTCACATTGAAACAGCCAGTTTAAGAAATGTAAAGTTATTGCTATAGTTGTTTTTAACACTATAAAGCCTGCTCTTTGAAATATTTATCATGCAAATTTGTAAGGCATTTAAATGATCAACATGATCACAAGCTTTCTGTTTTATTATTATTTATCTATTTATTTATTTTTAAACGTCCACTTTCAGGTCATAGTGTGTGTCCAATTTAGTAATGTAATAACTTTTCTATTGTTATTGGACTGAAACTTTTTTTTTTTTTTAAGAAAAATCATGTTAAAATGGGCTTATCAAATATGATACATCAGGTTTTTGTGGAACATGCATTTGTCCATTTCTCTCAATCATCACTATATTACGTTGCATTATATATTTTGCTTCCCACAGTAAAAAAAAAAAAAAACTACAGACCTTTGATCATAAAACTAGGCATTTTAAATATATGCAATACCGTTCTATTTCAAACTTTACATGGTTCATATGAATCATACTGATTTCAAATAAACAAACAAAGGAACTCTGGTTAGATGAAGGAATCAGTTTCATCATCTAAAATGCTGCCAGTTTATGAATGGATCAATTTAAATACGATTTTAAAACCTGATATTCAAAATGTCAACTCTATAGTAGCCTACATTACATAGATTTTTCTTCTCTCAGATGCATCTCTATTGGACATGATACGGCATCTGTCACGTCCTATGCCATATTTGATACTGAAAATAAAAAATAACAATATTCTGAATATGACTTTTAAAAGAGCTGTCCAACTTTGATCAGATGCTTTAAAATGCAGCAGCACTTACTACATGATGCTGTTGTGTTAGTTGTGTAAATGTATTCTTGCCCTTATGTTCTCTGAAAGGGTTGATTTGAAAGTAAATGTTATGAAACGCGTGCAGCTGGATAAATAACGGTTTCTGATGGTAATAAACTTAGGGTCAGATCCCTTCTTAGAAACGTGTGCTTTTGGTTTTGGTAGATGCTGGAGTAATGCTTATTCATCTCACCACGAGGACGTTTGATTTGCATTCCTGAATCTTTAGACAGTTTTAAAGTTGAATCATCAGTGTGTTTATTTCTCACCTCCATAAAGCCAGTCCGTCTCCTCATCAGCTGATTTCTCTATTACCTCTTTAGTGGACATGATCACATCCGGGGTTTTGCGCTTTTGCTTTGAGATCAGAGGCTCGGTTTAACCCACTGATTCACCGAGTTCGACAAAGTAACTAGTGTGATAATAGTTATAGGGTTTACAGTCACAGCTGTCACAGTGGCACGCCGCGTGTTGTTGGTGTAGCAGGTGTGCGTTACCAAAGAAACACATCTCACTGCACGCGCACGTGTGCGGGAGACGCAGGAAGTTCAACATCAACACATCAATGCACTAATTACAGGCAATATTTGTTTGTTTGTTTTATCGTGTCAATTTATTTATCTTTGCATCAATGTCAAATGACTGTATTCTATTCCATTATTATGACATGAAACATGTCAACGTATTTTTTTTTTGTTAGCAGACAAATCGTTTACTTGACTCTTACACTACCTTTTTAAATATCACAAAAGTTTTAACAATGAATATAAACAAAGGCAAAACATATTTTTATAAAAAACTGAGACAGAATATTAATTAAAAAAAAGAAAAAAATATAAAATGGTATATCGGCATCTTGATAAGCAAATAGCCCGCGTTGTAAATCAACGGACAAGTTTATGCAGTCATTTAAAGTCTTTGCTTCGATTTTCTTGTTGCCGTTAAAACTCCCAGCTGTACACTGTGACGCATAATTATCGCGACGCCTCTGCGCCACGTCACCTTCGAGAGACTCACATGGGTTTGTTTTGAATGGTGTCTGTTTGACAGTTCTGCTGTTGCTATCGTTCGTCTCACTTTAAAACGCCAGCATTTGCGGAAATATGTTGCCCACGGATGGTGTCATGTGTTTCCCCGGTCAGACGTGGGAAAAAGTTCTGTCAAAGGTTAAAAAGGCTGTTGTTTTCATGGATGATCGGTGCTCGGAGAGTCTGCACTGGAACGGAGGAGCTGCGCTTCTGTTTGAGGCTGGAGCTCGAAACATCAAACAATTCTCAAGCTTTGAAGCAGGTGGACAGAATGAACCCAAAGCTGTGTTTGTGGTCAGCACCGTGCTGAAAGGTAAAACGGCAGACATTATCAAAGACATCATTTCCCTCAGTCGCTTCCAGTACTGCGTGGTTTTCACAACTATTCCGCACTCCATTCACCTGCTTGCGAATAACGTGACCGCTGATCTGGAGGGGAATCCGGTGTTTGAGCAGTTTGAAGAGAAACTGTGTGAGTGGATGGGTGATATGAACTACACTGCTGAGGTGATGCATGCTCCTGTGGTCTTCGCCCCTCTGACGCAGCACCTTCACCTTTTACCTGCTTTCTCTGATCTCTTCCCATTATTGGAAGTGGATCTTCAGTCCATCAACGAGAAAAGGCCGGAAAAAAGACGATTTGGGAGTCTGATGGATGTGGATACGCACTCTCTCTCACCTGAGCTGCAGATTCAGATTAAATCTCTCGCATCAGCCATCAACACCCTGTTTGAGTTCATCGGTACCCGTGAGGAGAGCTTTTCCGTGGGTCCGATGAGCCGTCTGATCGCAGGGGAGCTGGCCAGTCATCCACAGGCCAAAAACAGGAGGAAGTCAGCCCCCAATAAAGCATCAGTAGTGTTTATTGACAGAACTCTTGATCTTACAGGTGTAGTCCAGTTTGTCTAAATACTATATGTGTTCAGTCATTAGTACTTATGTCAAGACACTATAGGCAAAACCATGTTTTATTTTATTTATTTTCATGCACTGGTCATTTTTGAGATTTTGGATTAGTGGACTTCCATAACATGTCTTATTTCTTTGCATTTCAATTACATTGTCGCCTATATCTTTAGACTGCTTTCTCGATAATTTTTTTTCTCCTTCTAACCAGAAATTTTTAATCCACTTTAAAAGCACTTACCTACACCCAATATTTTATTCACATCTATATTCTGAAGATTTTTACAAAGGGGATTGTTCAAATATCATTCAATTGATTTTTCAGCTGTACATTTTATTCCTAAAATATGGTGAATAATATTATTTTTTTTCCCCCCTGGCTGTTTAAAGTATTTTGTGATTTATGGCATGATACAAAACATATCCAACATTCCCTCTGTAAAAACCTTTCACTCTTAATTTGTCAACAAAATGAAACAAGAATTTTGAACCTGGTTTTATCCAATGTTCAGATTTCTGTTCTGGAAATGTATTCAAATCAGTACACATTTTTAGATAATGCCTCATTTGCGTATTTATGTATCCTTACAAAATTTATAAAACTAAACAATTGCTTTAATGTACTGTGACTAAACAACTGGAAAATATGGTGAAATATATTCGTTAATTTTTATTCTATTTACCTGTGGTGTCTTGTCTTAATATGTCATGGTGGCGTATAACACAGTTTAACTTATTCTTTGACCTTTCAAAATAATTTTTTCCCTCGGTTTCTCTTTTTCCTAATCTATAGGAGCTGTTGGCCACCATGGTGACTGTCTGGTTGAGAAAATCCTATCCGTGTTGCCACAGTTGCCTGGTCATGTGACTGACGTTCAGGTGGACATGCTAGAGCTCACACACCTGAAGCAGACAATTGATAACAAGGGCATCTTGGCACCAGGCTGCTTGGCACAGAACCAGTAAGAGCATTTACAATGTTATGGCATGCAAACATGGTATCATAAAGTTAATTTCTTTATCTCAAAAAACTAAAGTCGGTTCAGAAAATGCCAAAAAGCACTACTGTAAAGGCCAGCCGATGAACATGCAATGAGATTGTTCACACTGTGGTGGAATTACAACTCCATTACTTTTTTTTTTTATGTTACACGTTATTTACATTTTCAGTATTTTATTTTTTCAACATGTTTTAAAATTGATTACAACTTTGAGATGAGCTGGTTTAAATATTAACTCACAAACATTAGACCTAGGGTCAAAATTGAAAATGTCATAAATTACTCACCCTCATGTCTCCAAAGGAAGTGTTTTTTTTTTTTGTCCATACACTGAAACATGCCTGTAGGCAGGGGGGCTCAGGTAGCTTGAACGACCCACCCCCCACTGCCAAAGGTCCATCATTTAAGTCTGTTTTTGTGTGTGATTTATTTTTTTTTAATAAGTAAGTTTTCAATTAAATAACGACAGCCAATAATTCAAATCTCCCAAATAAAATGATCTAAATCTAAACCAACCTGAAGCCCTAATCTTGTTAAAAGCACCACTTCTGTTGTTCTCCTTCCATCAGGGCTTGCAAAATCGCTAGCCTGACGTCCCGGGACTATTGTGTCTTCCAGTTGGGCTTCTAAAATGTATCTGCACCCAGCCCAACGGTCTATTTTAAATACTTCAATTTAGTTGTATCAAATTTAAAGCCATGAAAAGTATTAAATGCCTTAAATGGTATAAGAAATGTCTTAAAGGTGACATATCATGAAAATCTGACTT